AAGGCAGGAGAACACAGTTTTGCAAGAATAGTAATGGAAGCGGCATATGACCTTCCGTAGCAGGTTCTGTAGCAAGCAAAATATTAGTTTAGAGCAGACACTGACACTTTTGGAGCAGTGGCAGCATCGGTAAGAAAATCACTTGAAAATGAAGTGATTGCGTCGCTAAATGGGTTCATCTCTCATTACGAATGAGGGTTCCTCTTCAATACTAGAGCATATAACTTATCACCCTTCGTGATAAGAATAGATAGGGCGCCAGAGGAACATAGAGCCTTCTTCTTAGAAATAAGGCTCTAGTCAGAGTAGGTTCTACTTACAAAGGGTACTAAAAGATAAATGCACAATTAATCATAGCACAACACTTTTGTTGGGATAAAGCTTCTCCCCCTCGCACTTTAACAGCCAGTAGTTTATTTAGCCTGCAAATAAAAGTCTGCAAAAACCAGCATTTCCGCTAACACGTCTATCAACAAAGATGCGTCTCCCAAGTTTTATGAAGTTACCAAACTCAACACTTCAATATTATAAACTACCAAAACAACCACTCCCAAATATTATAAAAACCTACATTTGTTGACGCGACACTGCTGCTTAGCGGCATTCGAACCAGAGTGAAGTCAAAGTTTGCTGTTCCTTCGATCGATGGCTGCACGGGAACAACCTCGGCTACCATTCATTCAAATATAGACCAACATTCCTTTTTTCTTTCTGGGCAATTTTTTTTTTTTTTTTAAGTTGGAGATGAACCTACTATGAAGACCGAAAAATGAAAGATGTTTGCAATTCTCTGTAATACTGAATTAGAGCGCAGCTCTTGAGGAGGAAGAGGGGAGGATAAAAAGGGGAGGGTATGCCCCTCCTACCCCTCCCCTCCTCCTCTCCTGCTCCCCTCCCATTTAGAGAAAAAATTTTGCCAAACTTCCCACTAAATTTTCCAAAAACTTTCCTGCTAAATTTAGCAGGGAAATATTCCTGCTAAATTTTGCGAAATTTTTTCCGCTAAATTTAGCGAGTTTAGTTTCCCCACTAAATTTAATGGGGAAATTGACGTCCAATGACTTCAACAGCAATTCAGTTTCCCCACTAAATTCAGTGGCCGACGCCGCTTAACCCGAAACGAGTACCTAGCACCTAAAAGCTGCGCTCTAAAAAGGTAGACCTGGTGTAGTACTGAGCAAAATTACTGCACCTATTGCACTAACCCAGGTGCTCACCCCTGCTCTTAGCGCTCCTGTGCAAAGCGGTGAAGCTCGACGTGCGCTTGGTGGTGAGAGGCAGCACGGAAGCATGCGGCAGACGTGATAATCGGGTGATTTCATCAGGGGTAAAAGACCCTGGTACTGTCTTACCACAGTAGCCGCCTTCCCACAATTCGACAATGTTTTCTAGCGACTTTTAGCTCCTGACATCGCCGACATTTTCTAGAAATTAAGACAATGTCGGTGATCAGTGATTGATGAGCAATCTCAATACTTCGTTTCACCTTAATTTAAAGCAGAGCCGCCTCTACGACCCAATGGGACCAACCGGCATCAAAGTGCAACATCATGCCGTTCACCTATCTTGCTGTGAGTGTTCTTTTCTCGACTAAACCAATCAAGTGCAGCGAATGTCCCATGACTTGCGCTTTTATTTGTGCTGGTGGTTGCACATGTTGGAGCCTTCGACTGTGCTCTGAACTAAGATAAACCTAACTATACGGTGAGTAGAGATGTGAGATACATATTTGTACCATTTCTCTTTCTTTCTACTTTTCTAAATATTAAAATCAAACAATTATAATTTTTTTTTAATATTTTTTAGCTCATAATTATTTGGCACAGGCCTGGTGCAATTCTTAGCAAAAATGGTACTTCAGCACAAGATGTAGCAGACTTTCATTTATGGCGCAATTTGGCGGAGCACTTCCATCACTGCAAGAAGTTTGCTATTTCTTTTTAAAGCTCAACTCAGAGGTAGTGAAATATGAAACATAAAGCAAAATTTGAGGTTGTGTATTTCCTGTGGCCTATACCAGCCTGTTTGTCGTCCGCACATATGTTTATGAGCTCACTCCCAGGTGGCTTGCTAAATGCAAAAGCGCTAAGAATCAATAGTAGAGGCCGGCACCAAGCTAGATAATTGCGATAGTTAATACTTTCAAAGGAATATAGGACCATGACCGCCTAAGGGTAAGCTCACACAGCAGTGTGTAGACAAAAAAGATTGGTGCTATAGGCCATAAAAAATGCACGATCGCCGTTTCTACTCTATTTTTAATATTTTACCATCTCCGACTCGAGCTCTAAAAAAAAATAGACATAATACTTCTCGTGGAACTGTATTTACATGCCCAATTTCAGGTACGCACATTTGGAATTCAAATTTTGCAAGGCGCGCCAAATGCGTCATTAAATTACGGCCGCACCCTGTACAGTCACGAATACCAGAATCGTCGCAACGTCGAGCATTAAGCACAAAGTTGACTCTGCACAAGGTTCAAGAACCCACCGACGATCTTGCACTTGCGCAGTAGCTCCAGGTGGGTCCAGAAGAGGTCTCCCGGGTCGAAGGCTATCCTGCGCACAAACTCTGCGTGGCTCAGCTCGCACAGCTGCTTCCCCGTCAGGTTCCAGTCCGAGGCATTGGCATCCTGAAGCCCGAAGTGGCGGCAGGCCCACTGGAACCACCGGAGCACCTGGTCGGGCTTCCACAGCGTCGGGTCTGGGCGGGGAACGAGACCACCTTGAAGCTTCCTCTCGCTCGCTCTTAATGCGAAAAGAAACCGAGGGAGAGGAGGAGACGAGAAAGTGAGGCGACGTCAGAGTGCTGAACGTCGACCTCCGATTAGAAGGACGATGGGTAGGATCAAAGGCTAGCTTCCTTCGTCTCTACCTGCTGTCTCCCTCCAATCGGAGCGAGAAAAAACCATTGTCTTCTCCTTGCGCAGGGTATGGCATTCGGCGTCTGAATGCCGGACCCTGTGCAAGAAGCAGACGACGCTCTCTTTCGCTCCGATTGGAGGAAGACGGTAGGTGGAGACAAAGGCAGGTAGCCTTTGTATATACCCACCATCCTTCCAATTAGAGCTTGATGCTCAGACGACATTGCACATTCTCATCTCCTCTTCCTTAGTTTCTCTCCAAATAGACATTTTACGAAAATCTCAAGGTCCTGTACGTTCCTCCTTGCCTCTGCAGCATCTACTCTACGACACTGGAAAGAATGAGAGAGAAAAAGAGAGGTTAATGCAGTTACTCGCCCACATTTCCTCCGTCGCCAGCTAGAACCAGTTCTGTACAGACAGTTTCCGGGACCCTTTTTTCGGTGCCGTGGACGGCGCTGCAAGTTTTTCAACGGATTTATCGGAGCTGCATTCTCATCCTTAGCGCTGCAGTCAGCAACACTTCAACAGGACCGAAAGAACACGGAGTCGAACCTGTTCTTGGACTTGCCTCACTCCACCACACGTGTAGAAATATTTCACGATTGGTGGTTGAAGTTGGCAACCATAAACGGCACAAAAGTCGTACACTCGTTCCTCCTAGATAGAACTGAAGCCAATGGAAGCCAAAATCAACCCTGATCTTTCTGGAGCGAGCTTATTCATACATAACTGAATTGTTTTGGCATTACGGATGACCCCCAATTGGCTGTTGGCTCGACTCCACTTCTGATTTGACCTTTATCCTGATGGCTTTTTAAAATTATTAAGGAGCGCAGTCGTGGATAGTTCTTAAAATGACTACCGTAAAATACTGAGCATGCGTGCATGACACAATAAGCGCATGTTCATCATTTCTAAAATGCTCGAAAAATAATCAAAGAATGTATCAAGTGTCCACCCTAGTCTTCCGAGCCCACCAAGCAACCCGAAATGCTCCCTCGCATTACCATGTCTCCGAGCACACAAGTGCAGAGTGGAGCAGCTTGACAAGCATGCACCGGTGCAAAGCAGTCAAGTCCAAGCTGCAACATGCCTCTCCTGCATTTTCGTGCTCCGATTTAACAAGCATCGATCCCCCAGTATCACATCAAAGGCAAGAAGGGCTGGACACAAAACAAATAAACTGAGCAGCTGTCAAGCTTCTTCCATTCACAAAGTTCAGGTGTCACAAGCAGTTTGTTGCAATCTTCCACAATATTGAGGCAGATGCTTGGGACAAAGCAGTTGTAAATCAAGCATCTGCATATGTAGAGTACCTGCACTATACAGGACAGGTTGCTAGAGGCATACAGCAGGCAGGGGCATTGCCAGGGGGGTGTTCAGGGGTCAGAACACCCCTCAAAAGTTTTAGCTATAGGACTTTCTTTAATCCTGTTGTCCCATGATCGGGGCTGTTGTCTCAAGCATTCAAATTGCACATGGATGAGCCTGCACACCTCAATTATGTTTTTCACATTCACTGCAAGAGTACAACAAAAACTGCGATACAAACTGGTGCCACTGCCACTGTCCAGTCTCGTCTCCAGTGCAACACAATCTTCGTGTATGCATGCAAAATAGTGTTCCTTTTTAGTCTTACGGCTGTTAAATATCTGTTGTTTTACGCATGCTTGGTTCTCCTCCCCTCCAACAAACTAAAACAAAACCCGAAAAAATTTCTGGCCTTTACTGAGAGCAGCTAAGTTCTTTCTAGAATCAGAGGGGCCCTAATTAGGCTAAGGAGTTTGTTGTCATCTTCAATGTCGGAGTGATGACTTTTCTCAAGCACACCCCTGGGTTCCAGCTTTCATGTGGCACAACAGTCAATAAGAACGAGATGTCTCGAGGCTTCCCCCGTGATTGATACAGGCACCATCGAACTTGTCGTTCGTGTCTGCTAATCCTGGCCTTCACGTCACGAGTAGGAATGATTAGAGTAGGCTCAATATGTGGTCCACAGCCACTTTACTGTCTTTGAATCAGAAAAACCAATCTTGTCCGGCCAGTTTCCTTTCTACACCTTCATCTGCAGAAGTTGAGACACAGTTTCTCTCCCTTGTGATGTGTGTAAACCTTAAAATATTGACATGAGGACCATGCAATTCTTGAGTTTATTGAAACCATTGTTTCTTTATCAATGACCATGACCACAGATATACAAAGCAATGAAAAAACAACACATAAAGAAAAAAACCACATGCTAAAAAAAGAAAAACTTCATTGGTTTTAGAGGGCATTTAACAACACCACAGACAGATTCTCAAGGTCCCAGAACTTGTAAGCTCTTCATTTTAATGACTTTGTGTCAAAGGATATTTTGCTGCACAACAGTGAAAAGAAGCCTTCTGATGTGGAATCTACTGGAAACTTTAATGCAGCTCACGCACTTATAAATATTTTTATTAATACCGTGCAGTTTCCACAAAGCTGTTTGACATACAAATATAATAGGTGAAGTTACTTGCTACTTCTGTTTTTCGCATCATCCACCAAAGTAGCCAAAAAGTTGATTACAGCTTTTGAGTTTCATTATTTCTTCCTCGTGCAGCCCAATCCCTTATCAATAAAGCACATTTTATGGCTGAAGTTCATGGGCTTCCAAGTGTTTTCAGGATTTCTAATGACTTATAGGAACCCTGCTAGAAACATATACTGTAAAGTTTCAAAAGAACGCCCACCCAAAAATTAAGAGATGAATTATGAAAAACATGGGGTGGGCTATTTCTGGGGATGCCACAGCAAAACTTTATCAAAAAAAAAGGCTCGAGGTACACCTAAGCACTTCTTATGAGTTGTGAATGCGAAAGCACGCACACCACTCTTTGCTCCCTTCTTTAGTCTGCGGCGTACAACGTGCTGACCTTGGGCGTGGAACGGTGGAGCTGCTGCCTCGTGGTCACACAGAGCCATTCGGTGAGCAATCGTTCAAACTGACGCGCAGTGGCCAATGGGAGCCTCGTCGACGCACGCCAGCCAATTGGACTGAAGCCAAAAATTCATCAGCTTTACTTTGTTCCTCTGGGATCAGGGAAACTAGGTGCCATGTCTCGGCTTTTCATGGGGTTTCATAGCTGGGAGCTGGCTACACTTAAAGGGGCCCTGCAATCATATTTAAGCGTCTACCTTTTTTGCAGTTACCATGTCTCTTGGGGTTCGAGCAAGCCAGCAGGCACGGAGAGAGTAGCTAAATATCAGTGCGTCATATTTTAACCGGACGACGCGGAAACCTCCTCCACCGACGAACGCAACCCGTGGTATTTGGTCCTGGGCTTACTACTGGTCAGGGCTGCTAAAAGCTTCTTTTTGGTCGATATACAAAATATAAGTGGCGCAAACCATTTCAATTATTTCTAAAAGTAGTTTTTGTTCAGTATTTTAGATCAGAAAAGAAATGAATGCAGTTGATAAAGTACGGAAACAAAAAATGACCCGTCGACATACCCACCACCAAGCGGTGGAAAAGGCGGCGCATACTAGAAAGAAGTAGTGGGATCAGGTGCCGACACGGAAAGGTCTCGGATGTACGCCGCGGCGCTGTAGTCGTAGGGACTGGAGGATCCGACCGGCTCCGAGCATTCCAAAGGCCTTCGGCGAGAAGCTTCGTCTTGTGGTTTGGTTGTTTCGCAGTATGGCAGCGCGAAGTAGCTCCCATTCTGAACTGATCTTTACCCCGTGTTTGCTGTCGTTTGTGGTCAATGAAGTGTTATGCCGAATTAGCGTTTAATCGCGCAGCAAATGCAATGAAAGCTACTCTGGCTGCCCACTGCATACAGCCTATTCAGAATATGGTTTAGTGGCGCCCTCTCGCGCCGTCGACACGGAGTGCGGCAGCCGTGAGCGCTCGCATATCTCACTACCCCTCCTCTAGTTCACGGCCACTCAAGCAACCAAGGACGTCATGAGGGAGGTTATTTTTTGCTTGTTTTTGTAATTCTAATTTGCCTATAACTTTTAAAATAAAGCGAATTTCGAGGAGAGATAAGTTTCACTAAGTTACTACGTTCAGCGCGCTCAGGTTCGGTACAAGTTAAAAACCAGTAAAAAACGTCCTTGCAGGGCCCCTTTAAAGAAAGGATTTAAGGTGTCGTTTTCGCACTTTAGTGTGATGACGTCGGCTCACTCCGCGAGACTTGATGCTTTCGCATTAAAATTAATGATAAAAATTGGGACACCCACTACAAACCACGTGATGCGGGAACCGATACTCCAGATTGCGGACACCGTAAATTCGCGTTTCACGATGCTATAAACGCACGGGAATTCGCTACACACTCCTGGTTGTGGATGCAGCAAATTCGTGTTTTATCGTGTGAAGGATTTGCGAAAACCCACCGAGAACTCCCATATCACTGCAACGAACACTGCAAATTGCGGATGCAGCAGATGCAAGTTTTATGGTGCAATAAACCCGCGGGAACCCCCTACAAACTAGCCTGTCACGGGAACAGATTTCGCAAGTGCAGATAGCAAACAAAAACGCGTGAATCCACAACAAACTCTTACAACACAGGAACGAATACCGCAGATGCAGCAGATTCGCATTTTATAATGAAATATACATGTGGCAACAACTCGCGTGTTACAGGAGCCGATATCGCACGCACAAATCGCGGACGAAAACACGGGAACCTGCTATGAATTCGCTTATCAGATGTACCAAAACAGCAGATCGCGCGGGGGATCTGATTGCCGTCAATCATCGCGTGACTGCCAACGGGAATCGGGGGTGGCGATGTTTTTTTAATTTTTTATGTTACAGATATTTCGCCAGAAAAATGGATAAGCAATCTCTCGGGGGTGGACGTTCTCTCGAAGCTTTAAGGTATGTGTAACGATTTTCTTGCACAAGCGCATTTGTCAAGTTAACAAATGAAACAAACCCCAAATATGGTGCAGTGAGCCCTTCCAGCATGCATACAAAGGAAGGCAGTTTTGATCAAAAAAATTTTCAGGAAACCATAATTTTTTTTTATATGAATGTATGAGAGTGAAGTTAGAAATTAATGCTCAATGAAAATAAAAATTACAAAGCTGCAAAAATCACAATGTTTGGCTAGACAAGACAATGACTTGCACAATGCCGCTCTAGGCAACATGGGGCATGGGTAAATTGCTATGAAAGGTGCAGTCTCCCATCCCCATACCTAAAGCACACACACAAAAAAAAAAGAGGCTCCATCAAAGTGTGTTATCCCAAATGTCTGCTGAAACTATACCCAAAAGCGTGTTGAAACCCAAGGATCTAAGCCCCGACGAAGTGAATCAGTCGTTTGGAAAACATGAACTCGCAGGAACGAGCACGAAAACGAAGTGGGCAAGGCTGCTGAGAGAACCGCCGACGAGCTCGACAGCAGGCGTCGGTGCAGTTGTCAGTCGAAGTCTGCCTGCTCGAGGAACCTCTCGAAGAGGTCGTTGAAGCGCGTGAACTGCTTCAGCTTCCCTTCCTCGATCTTGACCTTCTTCTCGAGGTACTCCTCAATCTGGAGGAGTCTCCTCTTCTTGTGCGAGCGCAACGTGACGCCTCCATGACTGCTTCCTGGGCTCTCTGGCTCCTGGATTTCCTTGGACGGCCTCATCACCCTGAGGCCTCCGGGAATCGTGATCATCATCGGAAAGTCTTGTTCCGATTTGCGGCCATAGAAGCTGTCCATCAACTCAAAGTAGGCCCAAGTCTTCCTACAAGAGGCAAGAATATTTGTTTCGCTTGTTTACAATCGATTCGGTGCTCTGATACAATCGTCAAGGGGATACTTCAACAAAATTTGAAATACACCCGGTGGTTCAGAAATAGGCTGAATATGATCCACAATATCTGTAAATGACAATCGCACATTTGTTTTTTGAGCCTGATTGCTGAATTTTTCACTATTAATGGTTCCCTTTGGCAAATGGCCGGATAGCAGCCAGTGGAGAGTATGTGACATCAGGCATAATCGTGACGTAGATTGTCTCAAGACGAGCAGAGCTGCGGAAAGGTTGGTGTTGACGTCCTAGCTGTTCCAGCGGCCGAAGCACACCAGCGATTGGGCCACAGCAACTAACCGCAAAGCTGCTTTTGTATGAATTTTGAGTGATAGGTTGATCTTCTATAATCTTCTAGAGGGACAATAGCGACGTAGAGAAAACACAAAAGAAAGTCTGGGTCCCCCTTCCCGTCTTCTTTTGTAGTGACCGGAGAGCTGGTGGCATGACGTCAGGCTCAATGCATATATAGTTCTAGGCTAAAGTGACCATAGTCCTCGAGCCCCAAAGCGGGATGCGTATTGGGGGGGGGGGGTAATAGTGTTGTGAGGCTTGAAAACTTTAAATTTTTGGTAACAAATCATATCTTTCTAGTATTTCATATAGATCGTACACATTTCTTTCCAAGCACATTTAATACCTTTGGTTGGAATATTTCTTTAGTATTAATGTATTTATTTTTGCAGATAACATGCCCACAGTATCAGCATCGTCTCTGCCAAATGGATCTCTTGCACATTGTTCAGGGAAAGCACCCTCTCACTGGTACGATTTTTTCGTCTAGCCGTGTCTTTTGTCTATTCGGGATTTGGGGGAGCCGAAGCGGGACAAAACACCATCCTACAAGCACGCTCGCGGGACAGCGGGACCTGTCCTGCCTATATCGGGACGTCTGGTCACTTTATTCTAGGCGAGACAGGCATTGTCACTACCTGTCAAGGTTCCTAGATGGGCATACCAAACGGGGCTTTTGCGACATCCACCAGGCGCCCTTTTCTAATCGTTTAATTCATTTTAAAATTCCTTTTTGGTCTATTTCAACAGGAGATTGTTGTGTCCGATGTGATACAACTTCCTTGAACACGTATAGACCAAGAAATAAGCGCCAAAATTTCATTGTAGTGAGATTTTGATGTCGCCTTCCCGTTGCGCTAGCTTCATCTACACGCCCAAGCGTCGTAGAAAAACCCAAGATTACAATTGTGCGGGACCTACCTATTTCTTTATTAAAAATGCAACCAAACATTGGGACATGTCCCTTTCCTGAGATAACCCAAAATTACAGTTACATGTGGTCATTTTCCCTCTTAAAGTTCAACTCAACCAAACATCAAAACAAGCCACTTTGCTGAGACTTATCTCAGAGATAAAGATGTGTGACGACATTTGGTCACATTTAAAAGATGAAAAGGGCCAGACATGATTGTAATTTTGGGTTTTCTAGGATACAAAAAGCATACAGATTAAGCTCGTGCCATAAGAAAAGACACTTTCAAACTCCACTTCAGTGCCCCTTCAACTGAGTGGCTTGGCTCTTAGGAATTTGGGATTCCTAAGTTGGCTTGTTACCCCCCTTACCGGCCACTGCTGCTGGAGGCACTGTGGTCCCTCCCTGCATGATCTTCCCTTCTGCCTTCCTTCACTGCCTTGTAAGTCTTCTTCAGGTTTTTCCACTTGTTCTCAATCTGCTTGGCATTCACACTATAGCCCCTGTCTTTTAGTTCCGAAGAAATCCTAGGAACCAAAAAGGAGGATGGTAATACTTATTCCCATGTCCCAGCAATAAAATCAATGCTTAAAAAAAAAAGAAGAGAAAAAGATACCTACTTGCTCCAAAATGCCTTGGTGAAGGTGTGAAAGCCCTCTTTCCTCTCCTCATCCTGACAGTGCGTAATCAGCATCACAACAGCGTCTCTCGGCCAGTGGAAGTTGTCTGTTGCAGGGGGTGCTGGGGACTGTGATGAACTGCTGCCAGCTCTGATGACTGCGGAGAAGAGGGATCCCTTTTTTTATTGTATGTATTGTACACTAACCAGATGCTAGCGAATTAAGTGTGAGAATAATGAATTACCCCCCGCTAGAACTCAACCCATCTACACCATACGACACAGCTTACAGGAACATGATATTGGTTCATTTCTGGGGTTGAACACCAAAGTTTACTAATACACTGCTAGTTGTAACTGCTGCCCCCTACTCAAGTGCAAGGTAGAAAACTGTTGATCACGCCTTCAGGCTAACTGCGTTAGAGGGCTGTTCTAGTCAATGTTTTGACTTTCGAGGCTTACTATGTTGTTGGCACTTTTACAGAGTTCCAGTATTGCACTCAAAATAATTCGATGTTGCTTGAAGTGTTTTTAGAAATGATACACTCTTTCTCGTTTAAAAAATGCCACTAGTACTTGGATGCCACATATAATAGTATGGTAACACTAATGATATCCTACACTTAGCATTGCTTCTACAAAAGCAGCACTAGATAACCAAACATGTGACTCATCGAAAAGCACTAGGTTTGGCTTTCACGCAGTGCACAAATTTCTGACGAAAGAAAATAAATGTTTTGTGGGAAATAAATACATGACCATATCTTTTTTACAATCAACTGATACCAACTGTAGACCTGGAAAGCATGCAGTTTCTGAGCAAGATTGGTCATGATCCACCCTAAATTTAATTTTCAAATAATAAAAAAAAAAATTAAAGAAAATATTTAAAAGAGAATGACATGCAAAGTAGTTAATAGCTTATCATAATGAGGAGAATTTCATTGTTAAACAGAGGTCTATCTCAAAGAAAAGTACTGCTTCCAACGAGGACAAAACCAGCTTATAAAAATACAAAAACACATTAGTTGCATATTTTAAACCTACATAATTGGATCCTAAGCTCATTAATTAGGAAATAAAATTATTTGGCTTCAAGAACTTCAATCTACAACAGGACGCTGAAAGGTTGGCTTTGCAGATACATGGGTGGTAAATAAAACTGATGCCAAAACCAACAAAGCAGGCAAAGAGCTTTAACGCCCTGACACCATAAAGTCAAGGCTTTCTACAGTCTCATGAAAGCTAAGCAACTGCAAAACAATGAAGATTTCAAACAAATACAAAACGACAATTTGAACCCTGATACAAAAAATATACGCAGGTGAGGAAAAAGAGCTAATGTTTCAAAGGAAAGACAGCAGACAAATGGACCCATCACTATTTACAATCAAAGTAATCCTTATTGACATAGCAGTCACCCTAGCAGAAAATGCAATACTGCGGTTTCCAAAAAGACTCCCTCAAAAACTGTAGAATGGCAGTCATTGTTAAACAGAGTTTTCTCTGTAAGCATTTCTATCTCAAAGGCAATTACTATGTATGTGAGGATAAACCTTGGAGTATAAAACCATATAACTCTCAGCAAACAGATTACAAGGTATCACATGTTCCCCATTAATAATCAACAAAGGACTGTTATGCTTCCTCAAAGTGCTACAATAGAATTTACAACATACTCTTTCCAGGTTTATCTTTGAAAGGTATTTTACAAACAATTGATAAAGTAAAAAAAACACATACAATTTTTAAATTTATGTAGTTGTGGTGTTTGTAGGTTTCTATACTCCGTTTCACCTTCTGTTGTACCGCAGTGAAAGCTAGAAGCGCAAGCTCATAGCGTTGGCAGCTGTCCTTACTGCACGACAGCCTGTGCCGACGAGATGTACCCTAGAGCAAGGAGCTCGCGCCTGTAGCCTTTCCTGCGGTACATCATAAGGTGAAAAAGAGTATACCCCTAGAATTTTTAATTTATAGGTTAGTTAGCCTGTAGTGGAGGGACTATTACAAAAGAAAGAAGGCTATATATTTATGGGTACAGAGAAGATCAAATGATTGAATCAATTAATGAATACTTTGTCTTTTGACGGACAAATAGAGAAATAAGCTGAAATTAAGCTGATGTCAGTTTTCATTCTGCTTTGAAAAAACAAAACAAAGAACTGCAAACTGTCTCGCAAATACAAGAGAAGGTGTATATGTGGCCATCAGAAACCAAGCACAATGTTCAGTGTTCCAAGGGTGGTTTATTATGCCTCTGATTACATCCGCATTACATTTACATCTTCAAAATGCCATGAAACTTATACTCAAAACTAATTAGAAATTCTCAAATAGTGTGCCTCTCAAGAATAAGCACTGTCAAATGTACTGCAAAGGGACCAGTGAAACTGAAGGGCCATTCAGCTTTTACTCACAAATAATTTCTTTGCAGCCCAAAGCTGCATCATAACTTGTGTTTTCGGAATGATGAAACTCGGAACGTCTTTTATGGCACTTATTTTTAGAGAGAATTCAGCTTATCTTTGTTATATGCCTAAGTCTCCATACATTTATAAAACTAAAAATAAATAACATCACAAACAAACAAATTGAAGGGCACAAAAAAAAACATTTCAATAGACCTTTTGCCAAATTACCCAAGCCTTGTTACATGCTTCATAATCATCTACCATAGAATACCGTGCAAGCGCCCACTCAAAATTTGAAGATAATCATGAAAAAATAAACGAGGGTGCATGTGAGGTTATCAGTTTTACATGTATACAGTGCAATACACTCATAACGATAATGAGAAAACCCCAAAATTCAATTGTTATAACCGATTATAGCTGTATGTGGACTAGAAACTGATTGTTTCTCGTCTAGAAACTCTAAAAACTTATCGTTATAAGTAGTACATCATTATATTATAAGTGGATTGCACTGTATGTACTGTGCATATTTTTTTCAGATGTTTCAAATTTTTGGGGTGGGCGCTTAGTGCAGAATGGGCGGATGCACGGTAGTCTACGGTAAGTGTTGTTACATGCTCCATATGTACTGGTACCTTATCAGTACCTTCTCTAAACCGGAACTTTGTGCATGCATTGATCAATATTTTACTTTGGATATTTACTTAAAATATTTTACACACATCAAGCAAACGTGTGCAGCATATGCACCTACATTCCCAGCATGTTCCTTAGTGCTCGGGCAATTCGGCAAAAGATCTATTGTGAATAACACTTAGAAGAAATTACTGGGAGATGGCTGGTTACTGTTATAAAAAAATACTGCCACCTCCTCCTCCTCCTCCTCCTCTAATTAAGAAGCCCAAAAGCTATAGCTGAATTGAATGGACAAAAGACGGGTGAGTGTTTGTTCCAATTTTGTTTTGGCTTTGTCCAAAGAACTTGAACCCATCTCTTTTGCAATCGAAGGTTCGAGAATAGGCCAATCTCTTTTTTTTCTATTTGAGCTGGCAGAGCCGAAAGGGAAGACGGCATCTTTGTACGAAGTCCAGGGCAAAACCTAATGCACAACAGGGACAGAAGTGGATTTGGGAGAAGCTCCATCAAGGTCACTGTAGCACAATGAAGTCAACAGGATGTAGCTGACAGCTCTGAAGACAGGAGCATTCATATTCTAGCAACATACCCTAGAACAAATGATTTAGAAAATGGTCTGCTAAAAGGAGGACATCTGAAAGAGATGCTCTGGCATTGTCTTCCTGACAAAAGTGTTCACATTTTTATCACAACTGTTAATCCTTCTTGTTTTGACTCTTTTACCATACTTCTTTTTCCTCGAGCCTAGTTGTAATGTTTGTTTTTTTTCGTCCCCCATACCGGACAAATGAACTATGTGGATGAGGACGACGGTAAGTGGAAAAAGTATATGGCAGCGTGGCTAGCCTAGCCTTTCGAAGTTACTTGGAGCATATTAAAAAATAAAATTTGAGGGTTTTATGTGCCGAACCCACAAAAAGCCTCTGGCACACCCAGCCTCCGAGACCGAGGATTGTAATTTCGACCACCCGGGGATCTTTCGACGTGCAACTAAAATCTCGGCCTTCCCCACAATAAGCATCCTTCAGATTGCAGGCACCTCAGTCAAGTGGTAACAAAGCCTTGAGCAGTGGAAAAAAAAATCGAGACCCAGTCGAACAGTGGGACCTCACAAACCTGAACTTGTGTAAGCTTCGATTTTTTCTATGTCCTGTATTAGAAGAGTTGTGCGATTACAGTAACCGTTACAATTGTTTAATACCGTGAAAGAATTCTGAGACTGAACGAAGGCTACACAAAACACTTCCTAAATTTTCTGGCTTCCTCACAGGGCTCGTGTGACATGAACGAATCGGGTGCTTACTTTGTATCACCTGCGCAGTCTCCTTGGGCAGACGGGAACACTTGGCCGGTGGGGACGCTGAGTCTTCACTCTCTGGTTCGGGGCTGGCGGCCCCTTTCTCGTGGCTCAACAGAGAAACTAGAAAGAAACACATACGAAGAACGCTGAATTGAAACCAACTTTTGAAAAGCATCACTGAAATCCCTTTGTATCCACGAAAGTCACTCTAGACCTAGCTCAAACCAAAAAGAAAAAAAGAAAAAGTGCACAAGACCTAGTTCAGACCGTGACAATTCCAAAAAATTAAGCCCTTTACATTGCAAGTACGTATCAAAGCAGCAGCCGCAGCGCAGCCCCCCCCCAAAGAAGCCTTTTGAGCAACATAGAACACTCGATTTTCCTACTTTAGGACCACAGTCAGGCAGAAAGAAGAAAGCAAGCAAGTCAAAACTTTGTCAAGCAGACACTGTTTGCTAAGACATTAGTGAAAATATAAGGCACCTGAGAAAATCAGCTCAGACTTGAGATATTTATGGGCGTAGCTTATTGGGCCTGGCCCTAAATACCACATCTGTGACAAGCAGATTGGGGCACAGGTATGAAAAAAAAACAAAAAAAAACACCTCTTTCCCTCAATGCAGCGAGTATTCAGACGACGAGATTGTTCAGTGCAGTCCTAAGGTTATAGTCCCAGTGTGAGCATAGAAGTGAATTCGAAGCGCATGAAGACGTGTTCCTGCCTGCCGCTCTTGCTGAGAGTTGAATGGTGTTCTCATCGGCGAGTTGTTATAACACCTACGCACTCGACTGAGCGGACGTGTCCGTGTGGATGGGAACGGCTACCTGAAGACACAAAATCGCGGATATTTCTTGTCATAATGAGCCTGGCAAGCAAAGTGAGCAGTACGGAATGCGAGCAAAGCGTGTTTGAAGCTTAATGGTGTGCCAATGGTAGAGTTACTTAGAAATTAAGGGGGGGGCTCCTACACGAGACAAGAACGAACATATGCTAGTCATTTGCACTGGCAAAGACTCCCGTTTGCAAAAAGAAGACCAATCATATTCAGCCAATCATAGACTTTTCACATGCCACTGGGATGTTCCCCGCTAAACGATAATAGCAGTAAGCATTAAAGAGGGAACCGAAACGAGCAATGCCAAGCTCAGACTTCTTAAAGCGCGCTTCAATTTCAAAGAAGTGTATATTGCGAAATTTAGGCATCATCTCCTCTCATCAACAGCATGCGCACAAGGCCCTTGGTTTTCGGAATTTATAATTAAAAAAAACAACCTAGGGTAAAAATCAGGCGTTTTGTTTCAAGCTGGTAATCGGGGAAAAATCAGGATTTTAAAGAAACTATTTGGGAACTTGGATTTTTAAGGTTATATTTGCATATAAGTACAATTAACAATAAAAAGCACTGACCAGGTTAAATACATAGATTTTATTTCACAATCAGGGCATAAGTATACAAATTGAAACATAGTATAAGAGCTCACTTGGTATTTTCAAATTTTCTTAAATTCTTGTTGCTTACATCATTATCTGCATGTGCAGCAGCCCAAGGCTAGTGGTTGTACTTCACTGGCTAAATTTTGGGGCCGACTATTCCGGCTGAATAAACACGCACACAATGCAATTACAATTAATGTACAGCATTCTCTGTCTCCATCAACACAACTACATACATTTGTAATGACCAACAATATCACTTCCGTTCGATGGCACCCAAATATAAGCTAGCTGTTCCTGTCAAAAGAAAGTTGTGAGAGTAGTTTCTCATCTTTCTTTTTTCGCTTTTTTCCTTTTGCGTTAGTTCAAAACAAAAAGGGAAGGAGGGCAAATGATATCTCACAATAGGAATAAAAGCAACATTTAGGGGCTCACTATGTGACTGAAGCCAGCAGAATCTAGGTTTGTTTTCAAGATCTGGAGCTAGTGCACATGTTCCTACATACTTTCTGTTTCCCAGATAATATTAAAAATGGTGGAATTCTATTTTCGAATTTGGAGAAGAATTGGGTTTAACACTATTTTCAAGAAGTGTGTTCAAGGGAAAAAAAACCGGGAAATGTTGAGTTTTACCCGAAAACGAAGGACCCTATGTATACATGAGCTAGGGCCATTAGGACAGTGTACAGGTCATCCCCCAGAAACTGGTCACTTCCTGTTCGTCGACGCCACTCGTCCGACTCGCCGGAGCTGCTCAATATGACGACCAACCAATAATTTTGTTTCTTTCTATTACCCACTTGTGATATTCTAGACAAAATAAATCCTCGGCTGTTCAAGTTATTTCCCTCATTTGCTTGTTTTCCAAACAACCACAAAGCAGCAAACCATATAGAAGAGCTGTTGCAAATCTCAACCTTGACCACATCAATGGTGGTTGAAGCCAATTTTTTTTTCTCCACAATGCAGTGCTTCAAGCTGAGTGAATACCTCCCATATAGTTTTGTCACACAACTTATGCCCGAATTAGTGTTACTTCGTACATAAACAAACCACATATCGCAGAACTGCATCATGATAGCTATCTACCACACATAAGGTGTCAATCTGGACTGGTAGCGGGAGCTAGACCACAACCTTCGAGCACAATATGTCTGCCTTCAATAAAACAAAAAATGTAAATGATAAGCTTAAGTTGGATAGTCTCCCCTAACTAGAAGCACTCAAATCTCTAAAGGAACCAGAAAATACTATCTCAACAGCAAAAGAGTGCAAGCTATCCCCCAACGAAACTGAAACCTGTATGGTGTGTGACCCTGTTAGCCTGAAAGTAATTTTAATTTTACCCGTGTTTCGCTCACAGATTAGCACCTCATTGTCACAAGCAATGTCAAAGATATTAGGAAGTTTTAGAATAAAGTATGCAACTTCAGTGCTTGCATTAGCGCACGCTATGCAAGAGAAACTAGAAGAGTGTTTCTCCGCCACGACGCAAAACTTTAAGCCTCTCGTGCTTGGAATGCCAGCAAAATACGGTAACAATTTTTATTTCACACACGAAACACTCTAAATCTCGTGCTTGGAACGCCAGCAAAATACGGTAACAATTTTTATTTCATACACGAAATGCTCTAACGTGAGAAGAAACAATTTTTCTGGTTCAGAGTAACATTTTAGATTTGTTTAAATATGAGAATGAGACACGAGTGGTCGACCGATCGCGTGCGCTCGCGTTGCCTTGGCAGGAAAGGTCTCTTGTACTGACCTTCGCAAGAAACGCTTGCGCATCGGAAGCAGCAAGTTGCCAGCGATCGTCCCAGCTGGGTCTTCCAAGCCGTTTGTGACGTGCACATTTCGTAGGAGCGCAATGTCGTCCTGTATTGAAAAACGCAGCCACGAGGATGCCGCCGACATTGTGCCCACAACGACAGTTGGAGCTGCAGTCTTGGGAGCTGCCATTTTCTAACTCTGCTCGTCTTGGCTGTAGCCAACTTCTCGCGCTTCACGAATCCTCCCTGGAGGAACACAATGTCTCTTTGCGTATGCACAAAATTTCCAAAAAAATAGCATACACTAAAATAGCACTTGCAAAGTGTAAAAACGCGGTTAGCGTTCAACACATGCGAAGAGGTGACGACACTATTCTTTGCGTACTCTATTCTAAAACCCCCCGTCCTCCAACTCCTTCGAAGAAATAGCTTAACTGGTAGCTTTTTAGTTGCTTGTGGATAAGATGAAAAACTAGCAATCTACCTTTCCCTTTAACTTTGCTTCACTTTCTGCACTAGGTGCACATTATCAGGCTGCATATACCTCCGAGCAGCACGCTACTATGGTATGGTACGAGGTAACCCTTGAAAGATTGGTAAGCGCTCACATTTGTCCTTTCAAACAGCCATTAAATGAACACAACCGGCTGAAGTTAAAAACCTCTGTCACGAGCTGATTTTGTTAATGCCTGTCAATATCTTAAAACTGACATTCTTTAGCCTGTATGCGGTCGTAAAGCAGGCATGTCTCATGAAAACACACAAAATACCATGCTAATAACAATGTCCTCAATGAAATTTCTAGAGTGCCACACTGGTCCATAAAAGTTACTAAAATATCTTTTAAGGAGAGGCATTTTTTTTACTTTTAAATTTGGCTTTCAATACCTGCCAGATTGGAACAATTGGTGCGTAACAAAACCGGGCGCTTCACTTTTGCTCCGATTGACCCCAGCGTAAAACACGCTTGTGAAAATGCGATGGATAGGGTGCCTGCCTTTCAGAGGTCGAAAGTACAACTGGCCTCAAAGGGGATGCTGCAGCAGCATAGGTAAAATGAACAAGAGGGAAAGGAAACAACATCATTCGTGTGGCGATCAGAATTCTGTTCTACCAAGCTTCCCACTTTGTAAACTCTCCTGTCTGCTGCCTTCCCGGGGCTCAACAGAAAGCTGGTTAGTATGTACGCTCGGCATGTGAACTGTGGGTGTGAGGGCCCAATGACAAAGGAAAGGAAAACAGAGTAGAATAAAAACAGTGAGACAATAGAAAAAATAAAGGATGGAAGCTGTACGGTCAATTTGACTGTCTGGACACAATACTCATGCACAGTTCTTTGGGAAACTCTCTGGGTGCCTAAGAGGAACCTTTTGCCCCGAGTATCAACACAAATTAAAAATAAAGTTCCTGAATATGCAGGCAAACTAAAAAGCTGGGTGCTTTCGCATAGAGACAAGATTGAGGAGCATTCTTACCTCGGTTGGTTCCGAAAAGACGCAGGATCGTGGCGTTGGTATTCACGCTGGCAAGGTATCTGGCAAGTTGGTCGACAGCGACACTCGGAGACAACAAAGGCTACGAACAGCCTTTATCCATGACGAATGGATTGATATCAAGCTTCGATGTCCTTGCTTATACGAGCGCCAGCGGGAGCAACTGCACGATACCGCTGCAACGTCTAGCCCATTTTTTAGAGGCATAAATCAAACTCCGTGGTCATTTCTATTTCCTGATGCACAGCTTTGTGTGTTCAGTGCCCCCAGATCTTCTAGAGGCACATCTGGTGATGGCCTTAACCCTTCTAAAAACTGCTTTCAATTTAATAAATGTCAACCTGGTGCTTGGCCAATGATCGAAAGGTTCTACTGCTGGACGACTCACTTTTTTCGATTTTAAACCAAAAAACCAAGCAGAAG